ACTTCTGGTATCCTGGGTATCTCTCACACACACACACACACACACACATGCACGCATGCACACACACACATATCACAGATAAAGGAGCTGCAGCAATGAGCAGGCCTGAGCAGCAATCTCACAGGCCTATTCCAGTCAATGCCTGCAGACCTCATTGCATAGTCATTATTCCGCAAAGGGAGTCCCCAGGAGGCTTCCCTGCAGCCCAGTCCCTCCGGAAGCTTATCTGCTTAGGCAGAAGGGCAGCAGTTTGAACAGAAGAGCATCTGCACCCTGAGAACACCACAGTCCTCTCAGCATTAAACCCCAGGCCAAGGGCACTCTAACAATCCCTGAGTCCTCCCTGGTCAAGGAAGCCAAGGACCAGAGAAAGAATGTTCTGTATGAGTCAACCAGCAAAGCTGCACCCAGGGAACCCAAAGCCACTTGAAACAGCAGTAAGTGTTTGTGCATGAGGCAGCCTTCTGCAGGGACTGACACGGGCCCACTTCTCCAAGGGTGTGCAATACTAAGGGTGAAGGAGTGTAGGGAAGTGACCTGGGGTCCTGCAGCCTGGGTCACCAGGGCTGCTTGTGCGTGTGCTGCTGCAGCTGACTGCACAGCCTCTGCAGAGCTGCCTCTTGCTGTTGCTGCCGATGACCCAAGGGGTCTCGATAGCTGGATGAGAGGAATATCACACTTGGTGAGGCTCCTCCTCAAGTGAGACTTGATGTGAGGCTAGCGGAAGTCAAACTAAAAACAAGGATCACTGTAATTATTTCATTTGGCCAAAAGATCCCTTCTGGGAAATGATTCCTTTGTGCAAAAGGCCTCAAATAGATGTTTCCAAGCAGAACTGAAGCTTGGATTTCAGGCACCAGAGGATGGTAGCCTCCGGTTTTCTCTGGTTCAGAAACCACTTGGCTTCTCCCGTGTTGAAGAAAGGTCCTCCCAGACCATTGCAGCGTGGAGGTGGGACTCTCCTGTGGAGTTCACATGGCTGTGAAGGGTAACACTGAACCACACATTGAGGCCCGGCATGATGCCAATCAGCTTATGTATGTGATGGCACGAGATCCTCACGGGGGCCTCTGGACCATAGAGTCAAACACTGGTGACTCGCCAAAGGTAACTGACACAGCTGGACTTAAGTGGGCACCTTTGTAAAGGCCAGCCTGTGCTCTTGGCAAATTTGCTATCTCTGGCCAGATGCAGATTTAGAAGTTATACAGTCCAACCCCCTCTAATACCACACATTGATTTTTAAAATAGATGAATTCAGAAGTTAGGGAACTTGTTGAAGCCTCCATGGACAGCTTTTAAGAACCACAAACACCCAGACCCCTCGTCAAGGTGAGGCCTGCCCTTTCCATCACCCCACCCTACCTGTCTTGAGCTACGCAGTTTCTGGCATAATTTTGTTCTGCAAGCAGGAGAAACTATGGAAGCCCAGGCTTAAGGTGAAGATGAAGACAGGAGTCAGCATGGGGCTTAATAACCAGGGGCCTGGGTCTGGCCCAGGACCACCCACCTCCCACCACTCACTCCGTGTTTTGCGACCTGAAAGCAAAAGGTTCAGGAACTTGACCCAGTGGTTGATCTTCCCAGGAGAAGGAATTCTGAATGGGTAAGAGAAAGTGATGCCCTAGTATTTTGAATTTGAGGATACGAAGAACATGTTCAGACAGCATCTGTGATGGTTTGAACTACCATTTGGCATCAGAATGACTCTAAACTTCAGGCCACCAGAGATGGACCCTTTAGTGAGAAGTCACATGTCTCTTTAGGCAAACCTTATATATTGATATTTTCAGTTAGCAATTTGAGTAGAGACTGACTTTTTAAATGACAGGATTCACCTGAATTACTTTAAAGTCATTCATTCATTAAATTGGTAAATATTAAACATGAGTTATGTACTAAACCAGGCGCTGTGATGCCAGGATGTATGGGCTGGGTGCCGCTATATCCCTCAAGGAGATGCACTTAAGCTGAGTGCTTACCTAAATGAAATAAATTTCAGAAACAAATGCAATGTATAAAATAGAGTACGGTACATACATTAAACACTGGTCAGAAAAAAGAGGCAAGGAGAGACAAGTGAATCCATGTGAGGCTGAAGCTGGCCTTTTGGGCTGAGTCAGGCTGGCAAGGTACTCCATTAGCCAGGGTTTCCCAGACTAGCTTGTGCTGAAACTCATCTGTGGTACTGCGTCTGGAAGATGCCCTGGTGTGGGGATCTTGCACCACCTAGCGTTGGCATAAGCCACTGCACGTACCACAAAAGTGGGAAGGAAGGTGCCCTCCCCACAAAGAAATTTGTGGAGCTCACCGTTTTTAAGTGCACTGCCAAATGCCATAAATGCTCACATATGTTATCTCATCTAGCCTGCATTACAGCCTATGAGGTTGATATTGTCATCACCATGTGACTGATGAAGCTGCAGAGATTCAAAAAGGTTTAGCTATTTGATCAAGTTCCCCCGAACTAAGGGCCAATGCAGGGAATTGAACCTCCCTCCCCCATACTCTGTTAACCTCCTAGCCTTTCTGGTGTAAAGGAAAGGATTGGACGTCTCATGACCAGGCTTAGAATTCTTGGATGATGGTTCAGCTTCTCAAGATGGGACCCGGACACCATGGCAGATCCTGCAGGGATCAACCCTTGCCTGCCTGAGCGGCCTTGGTTCTCTTACAACAGAGATAAACTCCGGCTTCTCTGAACCTCTTGCTGTGTTCCGAGCACTCCACTTCATCCCTTGCTTTAGTGTCTTTTTTTTTTTCCATGTGGAGCGCCCTCCATCTGGAACATCACTGTCCCTTTATTTTCCTATCTAGCGCCTCTTTCCCTTAAGATGGTTAAAGGGAAACCTGCCAGGACGCCTCCCCTGGCCCTCTCAGGTTGTGCTACATGCCTCTCCTCTGTGTTTCCACAGCACTGTGTGCGTTCCCAGGTCGCACTGCACCACAGACCACGCGTCAGTCATCTCCCACCCCCCAGGAGACTGTGAGCTCTGTGTCCCCAGCGCCTAGCAGATGCCTGACCCATTGCAGGAACTTGAGAAATGTCTTCAGGCAAATGAATGTTTGAATGGCTGGATGGAGGGGCAGAAGGATGAGACGAAAGCTTGCTGCCCAACTGGCCTCAGCATTCCAGGGTCTCATCAAGTGCCACGTGCTGGCCAGCCAAGTTCATCAGCAGAGCCAATCAGGATAGAACCCCAGTGGGACAGGATTCACCTAAATTACTTACAAGTCTAGTGGAGAAAGGTTGCGTTCTAGACCGCATTCTTACCCTGCCTTCTCACTGTTAGTGTCAGTTCACTTCTAGATCACAACCTGATTCCCAGCAGTTTCTGGAACAACTGCTGGTCAGTACTCAGTCTCTCAGGGTTGCTTGGTCAATGGTCCTGAAAACCCCTAGCTGGCAACCTGGAGCTCTGTTGAATCAACGGGCTGCTTGTGAGGTGACAGGGAAGCAGAGGACAGAGCTTTAATAATGAGATGGCCACTTTCTCAGAGGTCCCTGCCTCTGAGTCCCTGCATTGGAGACTGGAGTGGCCCTCCTGGTGCCCCACTTCAAGGAAGTGGTTTGATACATTCAGAAAGAGGATGTGGAAGAAGAAGAGGAAAAGAGAAATAGAGTATAGAACCGTGGGTGTTTCACTATGTCTTCTAAAAACCAAAATAAAAATAAGTAATAGTAGCTGTAGAAATTATTCGTTCTATCTAAGGGGAAAAATTGGAGCTTCATTCATTGGGTTGAAGCTCCAACAACCTGCTGGCATTATCTAATCTTCACAATGACCCAGGGATGAAGGCATTTGGGGCTCCATTTTACAAATGGATAAACTGAGGTCCAATGTCACACAGCTAGACTGTGTCTTCCCACCTCTCCTCTCTTTCATTTCTGTTGGATTTTGTAGACTCTCTGTCCTCAGGACACTGGAGAAAAGATGGTAACCCAGGACCTGAGACCAGTAACCCCAAAGGGCCATCTTTGCAGAGATCCCGAGAGCTCGACACACAGCCTGCTCCTCCACGATACCCACTTTTACCTACTCATCACTCACAACACTCATTTCCTCCTTTCCTTCATTATAAATCTAAATACATATACTTCATTGGGGAAACATCAGGTTGAAAATCCTGGAAGCCAAAATCATTTCTCTAACTCAATACAGCAACAGCAGGAAAGCAGTGCTATTTACAGTCAGTCATGGACTGCCTTGCTTCAGGCCCCATCTGCAATCTAAAAGGTTCTCTTTGGATAACTGAAGTTTTATACAAAACATGAAAGAAGAAACAAAACCAGGGATAAATAAATGGTAGTTATTTTCATCCCCTCTTGTCCAGGTAGAGTCCTGTTTTCCTGAGATTGTGACAGCCTGGAACAGGCCTCACTTTGATATGCCCTCCCTGCGTGGGCTGGACTTGATAACCCAACCTCTGGATTCCTTGACCTCACCCTCCTTGGCACTGGCAGGTGATTCCTCGCTCCTCCCTGGCTGCACTTTCCACTTGTTCCTATTCATGGCAGACTTTCTGCTTTTGATATTCCAGAACTGCTGATGCTCACCTCCCAGCCCTTCAGCTGACTTCACCCTGGTGCTTGCCCAGTTTCTCCTGCCCCAGATCTCTATTTCCTCCCCCTTTCCCTGGAGCGACAGAAGATGGGGAAGTGTGGTGGGAGTCGGGAGGTGGATCTGCCCCGTGGTCTTCAGTACTCAGTACTCAACTTTGGGGGTATAGGAGAGAATCTGCAGGAAGGGGGTCAGCAAAGACAGGTCATCTTTGAGTTGCCACAGTGCAGATAGGGACTCAGGAGAGTGAGGCTAACACCTGAGTGACGTAGGACCATTCAAATCACCCACTGAGAAGCCAGCAGAGAGGCTCTCAGGCTTAAACAATATGGAGATAGATCTATCTGCACCAACACAAGCAGCACACTGTAGTCTAAATGTTGTGAACAAGTTCACGGTGTCACCCTCCCATCACCCAAAAATATCTCCAAAACTGTCTTCATGGGCCAAGACAAAATTGTTTTATTAAAACAGCCATTTACAATGGCAGATTTTAAAGACAAAGATACAAATAAGTAGATGGATGTAAAAATCTGTAAAAGGTTACAAATACATGATCATCTTTTATAAAATCAACAATATTTCATGTATCTAGCACTTTATGGAAACCCGTTTTACCTTCTATCATTTGGAATAAATGAAGAGTTTTTTCCCTAAATAAAATACTTTCCTACCTCTTAAACTGTGCTTTCAAAGTGCTCCTTTCTTCCGGTACAGTACCCATGTGACAGGTGCTCAAATCTCCTTTAGTCCTTCTGCCAACGGACACACTTTTATCACTTCATTCAGCTTCCTTCCTGAGTCTGCTATGGACTTGGAAATCAAACAGCCACGTTGGTTTCAATAGTTTGTAAGTTAAGATTAAATAGAATACAGGTTGAGTATCTCTTAACTAAAATGCTTGGAACCAGAAGTGTTTCAGATTTCAGGATATCTGCATTATAGATTTGTCAGCTGAACATCTCAAACCCAAAAAATCAAAATCCAAAATGCCCCAATTTCCTTTGAGTTTCATGTCTACTCTCAGAAATTTTAGATTTTGGAGTATTTCAGATTTGGGGTTTTCAGATCTGGGATGCTCAACCTGTAGTAATAAATGGCTCTGAGGTGCTAACTTATGAATAAATTGCATTGACTTTGGAAAAAGGCCATTGTTCTGGTTTTGCACCTGTATTCTGGGTTCGGAGGGATGAAACAAACAAAGTGTATCGTGGTAGTTCAAAAAATCAGATATACCAACCACCCGCTGATTGATTCTATAATTTAGCATGGGTTTGTTTTTGTTCTTTGAAGTAGATAGAGAATTTCTGGACGGATTTGAAATGGATCTGATAGTCTATAGGTCAAGTGAACAGACTGACACCTGTCACAAGCAGGAAGCCCTTTGAGAACTCAGGTGTTCTAAACCTACTGGGTTCCCCCAAATCCAATCATGTGGAGGTATTGTCGGCAGAAGACTACCCCATGATCTCAGATGCCAGAGCCAGCCCACCCCATCTGGACTCTGGCAATTCTCTTATTGTCTGTGTTTCTGAAAACCTACTATATCCCTAACTCCATCCCCAAACAGCTGAAACTTAGCCTACGTCTCTACTAATTTGCAAATGCTGGGACTAAAAGTCTAAGGATATATCATTCCCTCTCCAGACCTTAAAACCTAGATGATTACCCCACATGTGAGAACATATGGCATGTCTAAAGTCACTTGAGTTTGCAGCCACAGAGGCAGTGTTGTATAGAGGCTAAGCATACCAGCTCTGGAGTCAGAATGGTTAGGCCATGTCAGGTAATATCTCTGCTTGTGACAAGGTTGTGGCCTCAGGGAAGGATGGCTAGCTTTGACAAATCTGATGCAATCTTTACTTCCTCCCTTCCCTTTCTGCATGCTGGCCATGCAGGGGGAGGGCTGCAGAGGAGAAATACTCCCAGCTAAGGAGGTGATGACTGGTGAGGCAGTCCTGAAGATCAGTAAGTAGGGTGGGCACGGGTTGGTCTCAGCCAAAGGCTGCTCTTGGGCCACAAGCAGAGTCTTCAGTGAGGGCAGGCGAGACTCAGCCTTCTCAGGAGTACAGTGCCATCATCATCCACTGGACATGTTGGGAAAGCAAATGATGGTCAGTTCAGACCCATGTCTCATCAGGGCCTCCCCACCCCACACTCCTGGGGAGCCGTGGAGACAGAACATTAATGGATGGTTTAGCTAGAGGGACCATACCATCCATTAGGAAGTATAAATCAATCTGAAATATAATCAACCTTGACTTCTCACAGTGCCTATGAATGATGACAGCCAAATACAGGCTGATTTTGTATTCAATTCTCAATGAATTTTTTTCCCATGAATTCAATTTGGCATGCTCATGCCAGCTCTGGGCAGGTGTGCAAACTGGCAGGGTAGCAGAAATCCATTAAAGCATATTCTACATGTTTACATTTATGGGCCCCTTGGTCTGACAGCTTTATGTGGGTGTGATGAACAACCCCTCTAACTCATATAGAGGGGATCTCCGGGGAAACCACTCCCCAGGCCAATCCCTCAGAATGATAAAGCTGAGAATAGTGAAGTTACCAATGGTGTCAGAGAAAGCCTCAGCGTGAAATCCAACGAGGTGGCTGCCATTCCCTACAGACCTTGGGTGGTTCTGATCCTCACTGAGCCAAAGATGGTCAGAGCTGGAGGCAATCTCAGAGACCACCTAGTTCCACTCATTTCACCTGTGGGCAGCTGAGGCCCAGAGATTTAATGTGATTTGCCTAAGGTCCCGCAGCTAGTTACAAGAAGTGTTGTGGCTTCAACCCATTCTCAGACCCCAGTGCAGTTCTCTTCCTGTGATAGCTCTTTGTCCACTGGACCCTGCTCAGTTTTGGACTGTCCTATTTCGGGTGCCACACTTGTGTTGTCCTATTCTCCCAGACCGGAGCCTGCCACTATGGAAGGATTGCCTGGGATCAGGAGTGATGCCCCAGCACTCAAGTGTGGGGCTAAGCAGTTCAGGGATAGGCTCTGAAAATTCTGGCCATTGGCCCTCCAGTAGAATCCCACTTCACACCGAATCTTGGAGGAATTGATGGGTGACACAGGCTGCAGGTCCCTACAGCTTGGAAAGCAATTCTACAAAATGGACATTTGAGATCAAGAGACATTCCAGCTTTGACTGAATCATTTCTAAGCGGCCATATCAGAGGAAGGGTTGCAGAATAAAAGAGCAGAGGATTGAACTCCAGACTCCAATGTCCTTACAATGAACATTACCTAGCGCTACACCTGGCACCTAGCAGCTGCTCAATAAATCAGTGCATTTTGAATGATCAGGGAAGATAATCAGTTTCATACATGAATTTGTCTTCTCCTAGGCATATCACCTCATTCATTCAACACATCCTGCTGTGTCTGCAAAGTGATATGAAAGAGGAGAAAATGGCTTGGCCATGTGACTTGCTTTGGACAACAGAATGACTTGCAGGTGTGCCAGACTGGAGCCTTGGTTTCAGAGGCCTAGTGTGTTTAAGCTCTCTTTCTTGTGTTTCTCACATTTCCCTGGAAAGAACAAACCTAGGCAGAGTTTCCTCAATTCAGGTACCCAGCAAAACCCTCAGCTAACCCATTGATACACGAGCAAGTCAGCTGAGATCCACTGACTCCCAGCCATGTGACTCAGAAGCCAAATAAGTGCTTATCATATATATGTTGCTGACGTTTTGTAAATTTGTCACATGGCATTATTGCAATCAGAGTTATTGGATACACCTTTCATATGTGCCTGGCACAAAGTGGGTGCTCAGAAAATATTTGATGGATGGATGAATGAATGAATGAATGAGTGCAATGAATGTAGTGCTCAATTTCAAATTCAGCAGAATAAAGGTCCCCAGAGCCCTTCTCCTTCACATGGTCCTGCAAGGGCCACCTCTACCTAAGATGACATGAGCCACCTCCTTGGGGCAAGTCTTACCTCTGGCTTCTGGAGGTATATCCCTTTGCCATCTTGGGTTAAGTTTTGGAAGACATCTGTGAAAATGCAGCAGAAAGGAACACAGTTAATGTGTGTATTGGAAACATTATGAATTCGTTCCTCCCACATATCTCACCTTAACCACATCCATTCTGAAAACGTGAGGGAACCCAATGTCAGCCTACATGTGACCACACGCAGCCACACCTATGACAAGTGAGCCACTTCAAGCCTATGTCTCTGGAACAAGGCAGGAAACGAATGAATTTGGGTATCTGCAGCCAGGGATCACAGGCACTTGGCTGGAGGTCCCCATAGCTTCCCTGGTCTGCCGTTTCTGGGATGGCAGCTGTCCTCCCTTGTGCTTAAACTAGGGACAGGTGGGAAGTCATGGGGCAGCAGAGGAAGACCTGGCCTCCCCAACTTCCTGCCAGCTCACCCTCCATGTTCTCTACACGCAGCATCAAGTGGACGAAGCTGACAAAGCCCATCTGGAGGCGGGGGCAGCCGTAGCGGACGAGCATCAGCTGACAGACGTCATCACTGAGCACGATTCCTGCATTAAGCACAAGCTCCTGCTGTGGGTGCTGGGGGCTTACACCCAGCTCCCCTCCTGCCCAAGGCCCCTTCAATTGTCCCTCCAGTTTAGGGACCTGAATCCGGATAGCATGGAAATCTTTTATAGAGTTCATTTTGAATTGTTTAATTGTTTAACCAATTTATTTTATTTAATCCCTACTCCTCACCCCTGCCTGTTAAGGCAATCAGCATGAGGCTCTTTTCATCAAGTATGTTACTGGCCTTCAAGGAAGAAGGCAGTCTGCTAAGTGCTCAAAAGTACCTGCTTTGGGGCCCGGTAGTCCTGGATTTAAACCCCAGGCAACTGAGTTTCAATTTCCTCCTCTGCGAAGTGAGGATTATAACAAGGTGGTGCTGAAGATTAAATGAGAAGTTGAATGTGCCAACCCTCCATCAATGTTGGCTAGGATCACAGTGACAATCATAAAAAATGTTGGTGTTGATTGCAGATCTACATCTTTGAGAGTCACACTGCGTATCAGAGTTACTTCAGCACGCCACGCATCTCCTCTCCTCTGCCTGGTGAGTGTGCACCCTGCCCGTGTGTGCCCACAGCTCCAGCTCTTCCTGTGCCTACCTGCCTCCTTCATGGCAGCACGCAGCTGTTCCCAGTTCAGGTATCCTGACCCATTGTCTTGCTTGTGGAAAACCTTCTGTAAAGAACCAAATAAGAGGTTCAGGAAGCCAGGCATTTCCAAGCACCATCTGAGAGCCCCTGTGTGTCCCCTGTCAGCACTGCAGAGGGGCTGTTGAAGATATCTGAGGCTCCACATGCAGGGCCTGCTGCCAGGGTAAGAATATGGCAGAGTCCATGCTGGGATCCTACCACCTTATGTTTCCTACAGAGCAAGGGTCCTGAAAAACAGAAAAGTCTTTTTCTCATGGGGTATAGACAGTCTTGGTGTGGGTAAACGTGCTTAATGTAAGCACATTATCCACACTTTAAAGTGATTCCAGCTTTCTGACTTAGGAGACAAGTGGGAGGGTTGTGAGCAATGATTGGAAGAGCAAGAAGGAGCAAATTTATGAAAGACTTTAAATTCCAAGTGTGCCAAGGAGTTTGGACTTTCTCTGAAGTCCATGGGGAGTCTTAAAAAGCTTTTTGTAAGGAAGCAGCATGATTAGATATGTGTTTTGAAACTTCAGGAGACTACTGCAACCGGCTGTCTGAGCTTGGAAGAGAACAATGGAGGAAATGCTCACTGAAGGGAGAATAGAGGTTTGGTGAGTTGGATATAAAGGGCTGCATGGGAGAGAAGTATCTTCTACAGCTTTGTAGAACTGCCATTCCTACACCATCTTCCAAAGAGGTGTGGTTAAGACTTGTTCTTACCTGATAGAGCTTCAGCTGCTTCGACAGATCCCTGAATTCCTGGATGCTCATAGTACCCGATGCATTAAGCTGATTAATAGGTTAAAGTAAAAGCTGCCAGGGAGAGTTCCATCCATGCTTTGGAGGCAGTGATCAGCCCTCCACAAAGTGATGTGCAATTTGTGGATGGCCTCATTCAATGTCTGATCGTGTCTGATTTCGCTAGTTGGCCTCACCTCGCTGGCCAGTCCAGCCCAGGACTCCCTCACTCTTGCTAGGAAAAGACAGAATGAGCCCAGAGCACAGCAGCACTGGGAGAAGTGATGATGATGGAGGTGATGATGGTGATGACCACAGCTAGCATTAAGTGAGGCAGAATTTTTTTTAATGCTATGAAATGTTATCTTTTATTATTGTTAGTAGAGTACCAGTAGTATTAATAGATAGTGATATAATTTTAATACACATGAAGTCTTTTATACCTAAACATAAACAAATTAAATATGACATATCTCACTGCCTCTTGTTTTCACTCCTACCTTTTTCTTCTTAGCATCCTTTATTGAGTTCTTTTTTTATATATATACTTTAAGTTCTAGGGTACATGTGCACAACGTGCAGGTTTGTTACATAGGTATACATGTGCCACGTTGGTTTGCTGCACCCATTAACTCGTTATTTACATTAGGTATTTCTCCTGTCACTATCCCTCCCCCTGCCTCCCAACCCCAACAGGCCCCTGCATGTGATGTTCCCTGTGTCCTGTGTCCTGCCCTGTGTCCAAGTATTCTCATTGTTCAATTCCCACCTATGAGTGAGAACATGCGGTGTTTGGTTTTCTGTCCTTGCGATAGTTTGCTCAGAATGATGGTTTCCAGCTGCATCTATGTCCCTGCAAAGGACATGAACTCATCCTTTTATATGGCTGCATAGTATTCCATGGTGTATACATGTTACCATTTCTTAATCCAGTCTATCGTTGATGGACATTCGGGTTGGTTCCAAGTCTTTGCTATTGTGAATAGTGCCACAATAAACATACATGTGCATGTGTCTTTATAGCAGTATGATTTATAATCCTTTTGGTATATATCCAGTAATGGGATGGCTGGGCCAAATGGTATTTCTAGTTCTAGATCCTTGAGGAATCGCCACACTGTCTTCCACAATGGTTGAACTAGTTTATACTCCCACCAACAGTGTAAAGCATTCCTATTTATCCATATCCTCTCCAGCATCTGTTGTTTCCTGATTTTTCAGTGACTGCCATTCTAACTGGTGTGAGATGGTATCTCACTGTAGTTTTGATTAGCATTTCTCTGATGACCAGTGATGACGAGTATTTTTTCATGTGTCTGTTGGCTGCATAAATGTCTTCTTTTGAGAAGCGTCTGTTCGTATTGAGGCAGGATATTTTGACATGGCCAATTTGACGTGATTTAAATTTAACAAATAGTAACTTTTTTTCATTATTGTTTTAAAAACGAGCTTATGGAAGGAGTCAGGCACAGGGTGGCTAAGGATGCCTTTTACATTTTTTTAAGTTTAATGGTTGGCTTTGTAGACCATGCCCAGATACCCCTAGCATCAGAGACATTGGGTCAAAGTACTACCACACCCCATCTCTGTTTGAGCCCTCACTATGAATCCATCACTGAGTTACACACTTCACCTGTAGCAGGTGAGGTCGGTTTTAACTCCCCCATCTTCTAGTTGATGAAATGAGCACTTGGAGAGGGTCTGATCTTGTTCAAGTTCATACAGCTGGTGACAGAGCTGGGACCTGCCCCATGCCTGTACACCTAATCCTGCACTGTCTCTGGGTTTCTGCAGACTGTTTTTGTTTTTACAACCCCCCTTAGGCTATCTATTCAATATGCCTCTCCATAGTATGGATGATCAAACATTGATTACAATTATCCACTTAGAAAAGGAGTGCGTTTACTAGAAAAATTGCAGGGCTGAGAAACAGGACAGCTGAGTTTGTGGCATGTTGTTTAACTTTCCTTAGTCCTGGTTTCCTGATCTGTGCATGGGGGCAGCCACCACCTAGTTATTAAATGGAAAACATAGGGCCCCAAGTCTTTTGCAAAGGCTCTTGTAAACCTGGAGAGCTGTTACTAACCACCACCTTCTAGCTGCCTCATCCTTATTCCCAGGAAATGACATTATTGTGATAGATGGCTAATATTGGTCACCTATTAGATGATAACTCTGACCCCAGCATTTTACCTGTATTATCTCATTTGCATTCCCACATTAATCCTACCAAGTAAGTTTCAACACTCTCTCCATGCTTCAGATGAGCATCTGGATGCATAATGAAGTTCAGTGACTTGTCCAGGATCCCACAACGAGCAAGGGTTGGGGTTGGGATTCAAATCCACTCTGTCTAGCTCCAGAGTGAAGCTCTCAACCGACAGCAAGCATCCACCCACAGACCTGAAAGGATACGTCCAGTAAGGCCAGGATACCCTGGCAGGCTTCCAGGCTGAAGAAGGGCTGTCTGCTCCCCAGATCTGTGAAGGAGCAGAAAGAGTTCACATAGGGGCTGGCCCCAGGTCTGCACACCCCTTTTCTGAGCAGGAGGAGGCAGTGCTGCGTGGGCCAGCTGTGGGGTCTGATGACCACAATGTACATGGGCTTGGAAGAGTGAGAACGGAAGGCAGTAGAGAGACAGGGGGTGATGGTCATTCCTACACCCATGGAGAAAGTCAAATGCTGTAGGGGACGCCTGGTATGGCTTGGGTTTGCTTACACAGAGGGCCAAATGAGCATGCCCTTTGTACCTAGGGAGGGCCAGGATCACAGAGTCGAACTCCCAAATCTCAAAGAGATCCAAGAGGTCAACTTTTTCCAGCTCCCACCTGAACTGGGGGATTCTTTCCTCAGGTTTCCTTCTTTCCTTCTTTCCTTCCTTCCTTCCTTCCTTCCTTCCTTCCTTCCTTCCTTCTTTCCTTCCTTCCTTCTTTTGAGAGGGTCTGATCTTGTTCAAGTTCATACAGCTGGTGACAGAGCTGGGACCTGCCCCATGCCTGTACACCTAATCCTGCACTGTCTCTGGGTTTCTGCAGACTGTTTTTGTTTTTACAACCCCCCTTAGGCTATCTATTCAATATGCCTCTCCATAGTATGGATGATCAAACATTGATTACAATTATCCACTTAGAAAGGGAGTGTGTTTGCTAGAAAAATTGCAGGGCTGAGAAACAGGACAGCTGAGTTTGTGGCATGTTGTTTAACTTTCCTTAGCCCTGGTTTCCTGATCTGTGCATGGGGGCAGCCACCACCTAGTTATTAAATGGAAAACATAGGGTCCCAAGGCTTTTGCAAAGGCTCTTGTAAACCTTTCTTTCTTTTCTTTTCCTTTCTTCTTTCTCCTTCCTTCCTTCCTTCCTTCCTTCCTTCCTTCTTTCCTTCCTTCCTTCCTTCCCTCCCTCCCTCCTTCTTTCTTTCTTTTCCTTTCTCTCTTTCCTTTTCTTTTCTTTCTTTCTTTCTTTCTCTCTCTCCTTCTCCTTCTTCTCCTTTCCTTCTCTCTCTCTCTGTCTCTTTCTTTCTTTTTTTTTTTTTGTTTGGAGCCTCATTCTGTCGCCTAGGTTGGAGTGGCACAATCTTGGCTCACTGCAACCTCCGCCTCCCAGGTTCAAGCAATTCTCCTGCCTCAGCCTCCTGAGTAGCTGGGATTACGGGAGCGCGTCACCATATTCGGCTAATTTTTTATATTTTTGGTAGAGACAGGGTTTCACCATGTTGGCCAGGCTGGTCTCAAACTCCTGACCTCAAGTAATCCGCCCATCTCAGCCTCCCAAAGTACTGGGATAACAGGAGTGAGCCACAGCGCCCAGCCCTCCCCAGGTTTCTTGATGGATGGTCTGTCAGTTACGGGTGCTCACTTTTTCACATGGGTGAAGAGCTTCAGTTAGGAGAAACTTCCTTCATTAAGTCTAAAGGAACCTCCTATAATAGTGGCTCACTGGTCCTAGTTTCACCTCCAGAAAAGCATAAAAGGTATTTATCTCTTCTTTGACTTCTGCTTTTGCTTCTAAACATCTGAATATTTCCCAAACTACTCCTCAGATGCAATGGTTTCTAAACCCTCGACACCCTTTTCTGAGCCCTATATTTTGCCAGTATCTCTTTGAAATATGGTACCAAGATTTGAACACAGTCTTCCAGATGCAATTTGATTGAACAGAATACAGTACACCTATCACTTCCAGTTTTCAGTTAGCATTTCCCAAATTATGTTTCAAAGGAGATTTTCTGCAGAGAAAGTTTTGTGGTCAAAGAAATGTGGGATACTTTGCATCTATTGATGCTTTTCTTCATTCGCCATGCACTTTACTGTATGTGAGGTACATATTGTACAATTGACCACAGAAGCTAACCCCTTTTATTTCATGGAACACTTACTAAACCTCTTGGTTTCTAACGTTTTCAGGAACACAATTTTAAAAACACTCATCTAAATGCTCCCATTAAATGCAGCCTGAATTTGTATGAGCTTATTTAGCAGCAACTTGAAACAATTAGTTCATGTTAGCTAGAGGTCAACTAAATTAACCAAATATCTTTCACATAAACTGCCACAAAAATGAGGTCTCTTCTGTTAAGAACTTGCGCTACCATTTTAAAATGGTCTACATCAAAATGGCAGTGGTTTATTATCTTCCTGACTGCATTTCATCTTTTTGGTTTGGGCACAGCTTGTTGAAAACATTCTGAATTTCAATTCTGCTATCTATTATATTAATGATTTCTCCCAGCTTTGTGCCATCTGCAGCTCCAATAAGCCTATATTCCATGTCTTCTTCCAAGACATTAATAAAAATTGGGGAAATGAACAGGACCAAGGGCAGATGGAATTTAAGAACTCTCATCTAAACATCTAAGCATATAGACTCTTGCCTGTAACTGGATAGAATTATCCCTCTAGTTTTATATTTGTATAACTCTTGGGAATGGTGATAAGATTTGTTGTAAATACATCTACTATTATTGTTTTCCAATTCACGTTTTATCATTTATCATGGGAGACTCACCAAATATCTTGCCAAAATCTACAGTATTTCTCTGATCTATCCATCTAGAACCATCTCATATGACTAAATGAAAGCAATTTGTTCATAAATGCTTTGGAAAACCATTTTGTATATATGCAATCAAGGCCTTTAAAAACTTTTAAATGTGCACAAGCCATTTCTTCTAGGTAATTTCCCTAGAATGAACCTAGAATTTATTTTCAGCCGGGAGGGGGAGTCTTTACGTTCTACAATTCCTAGAGTCTTCCCTCTGCCTGTTTTACTGATAACTGAATTTGGCTTTGAGAAGCCTTCTGCAAATTCTTTCAAACCCTGAATCACACAATAGCCAGGACTGTAATTTGTCTAGATTTGAAATCTTGGCTTCATAGAAAGAAGAAGCAATCATCTAACTTTGGTAGCAAATACTCTAGTTGTTTTACATTTTTTACTTTGAAGTTCATTCGTCTCCCTGGAGAAATCAGCCTATTTCTTCTGTGTTCTTCTCACTCCAAATATATGTACAAAATATTTTATATGGACTTTAAGCCTTTCTAATAATTTATCCCAGGCTTCATGTGAAAGCCTCCGCGCTACCCATTTCCAGTTCTTCTAGGTGGTGTGTGCTCTCCTTCCAGAGTTTTATAGCTTGATCAATTTAACATGAGTTCATCAGACAGTTCCTGGGTAGGCTAGTTAATACTTAATATTTATATCCCAGGTTGAGGAAATGGGTGCAGTTCTTCCACATAGAACTGATATGCCAAGAAAGAGGTACTCAGTTATTCCTTTCTGACTAGCAAAATGGCAGGAATCTTCATTTTCACTGCCATATATCTCTATACCCAAAGTAAGCAAAATAATAATGATTTTCAAAGCTGCATAAATTTCCTTACTGCTTTTTCAGATCACATAATCCACCCTTGTGTAAAATATAGCCACAGTTAAGACCAGTGCTCAGTAATTCATACATCCTACCAAGGGAAAGAGAAACAAAGCCAGAGTTTAGAAAAGTTGCATCCCCTCTGAGTCCTACAGAATGGCTCTAAAACACTTACGTGACCAGGTCATCTGGTTCAGGATGCTCTGCAATTGAACTGCATTAATTTCTGGATACTGAATAGAAAGCAGATTGGCAAGAAAAAATAACTGTTACTGAAGGCTCATTAGATGGCAGAAGGGTCATATGACTGGCCATGAAATTAAACTGGGATTTCCTAAGAACTTCACAATGCTTTTTAACTGGGTGCCAACCCCAGAGAACCCTGGCACAGCATGACTTTTCGGTAGGTTTATAGAGAATAGTGATTCTCAAAGGTGCTATCCAGATGCTTCTGAAGTTTAGTCAACAATTTGGTTTGAATTTCATTCTCAATAAAACGTCATCAGTCAAAACTCCAGATTTTAACCTTAGAGTTTATTAAAAGAAACTCTTTATATGAACATTTGATTTTAAAATATATCAATGAAATATAAGTATCAAACATCTGAATTTTAAAAACTGAAGCATATTCATAATATGCAATTTTTAGTTATTTTATATATATTGGGATTCTCTATGCGACTTCGTTTGATAAAAGGATTGCAGCATCAAATGTCTGGAAACCACTGGTATGGAGGAAAACTTTAATAAACAATACATATAAGATTCTGATTTATCCTCTCCAGCTACATTAAACAAAATTCCAGATGGGCAAGGCAGGTAAATTGTGACTTTAAATCTGGAATGTCACTAACATAAGGGGCTCATGTTCTCTGTTTTAGTGACATTGCTCAAATATCAGACCCCAGATTTCCAGTATGTTTCTCACCCTATTCCTAAGTGTCCTGCAGGTTAGAACAGCATGGCCTCCAGAGCCCTGCACTCATACTATCAGCCCTTGCTAGACTCACATCTGGGTCAGCCCAAGGGAAGAAGCCGCAGAGACCAAGTGTGTGTCCCAGGCCCTCCCCCTTCTTATCAGTCCCACCTCCTCTCCTGGTGACCACTCAAGGGCCCCTTCTCCATGGGCTCCCCTCCAATGGCCCTCCCCAAGGCCCCCAGGGCTTGTCATTGTCATTCTCTGCACCCCCCTCCCCCATCCTACTCCCAACTCTGACACTCTACTCTGCTATATCCCATGTTTTCAGGGATGAAAGATTACAGTTGCTTTCCCTACAACTAATCAATGCAGCTTCCAAGAACAGAGAATCATTTTGCAGGAGACTTCTAGACAATGGCTCTACTCATTTGTCTAAAAACTTGAGGACTTTAATAGAAAGTGGCAGTTTGGGGAATAGGTAGCCTTAAATCACAGTTTCTATGCAGCCTCAAGCAGATGCAAACCTATACTTTATAAAATTATATGCTCCACTTTGTCCCCTGCTCTTCCCAACCCCCTGCCCCCGCCATACATGTTCAACTAACCTTTTCAAAGAATTTGGTGAAGAATTCATCCTGCCCTTCATTTTGGTCTTCTATCTCCTATAGGAAGAGACACATAGAAAGACATAATTATTCACCTGTATAAATGGACTTTCGTGCACACCCTAATGTCTCATGGCTTCCAGGCTTCTGAAAACCATGAGCTTGACTTTGCATTGTCTTTAATTTTACACCATAGCATTTACAAACAGCTCTTGCTTCTCCAATTTTCCCTGACTTTGGGGAAATCACAAACAGTGGAATGGACAAAAGAAATACCAGATAAAGAGAAGCAGAAGAAAGTAGAGATGTAACTCATACAGCCGGGGCTCTGGACCCTCAGTGACAAGGACCTGATCAGGAGGGTAGTTCTCTATTCTTTGTTGGTGCAAAAACAGCAAAGCCTGGGTACTGTTAGGATACAACGGGTAATGTTTGCCATAGAACAGGGTCTGTAAGGATCTGCATATCTCCTCCCCTGACTCCTTAACTTGAAGGGAGAAACTCAACATCTTATCTTGGAAAGCAGTCCCAGCCACATGGAATTCCACCAGACTACTCACCTTCGAGAAGACGACACCAGAATTGCTGCCAATTTCACTGAGAACAAAAAAACAAAAAACCCAGAATTTCCTCTTGGGAATTTCTTGGCCAATCTTCCCCTTCTCCTGGGAGCTTGTCTTCCATGTTCCTTCACTGAGGCACCACAAGGGCCCACCCAGCTCTCACACTTCACCTCCTGCTTCCCCTTGAAGTGTACATTCCAGCCATGTGCACAGCACACTGCTTGTAATTCCCTGCACCCTCATCTAACTAGTCTTAACAGATGAGCATGAGACTTAGTGGTCTGACGTGGCATTGGGGCCTGCCTGAGATCAAGTCAAACTACCTGCAGCCGAAACATAAAAAACAAACAAACAAAAAAAAAAACAAAAAAAAAAAACACAAAACCTGGCAGGTAAAACAATCGTAGGCAAAATAATATGTTTGGTTGGGATATGTGCAGATTAATTCAACTGGATACAGCAGCAGAATGGAAGCCTGCTAGTTCATGATAGCTTCCCCTCATTTGAGCAACCCCTTATGCATCTTTTAATAGTCACCCCCTCCCTGAAGCCACTCCTGCTTCCCCCAGGACCATGGGAGTTGGTTCAAATTCTCCTCCTTGAGTATCTTGTAACAATAACACCCTGTGCATACAAAATGCTTACACTGGGTGCACTGGAAGATCAATAACTGCTCATATATCTGTGTTCTTTCCAGACCTTGAACTTCAGCGGGGCAGGATCCATGTGTGTTTTATCTTTTTCTCTCTAACGTCTAGCATGGCATTAATTTGTGAGTGGAAAGAGGGTGGGAAGGAATGGGAGGGATGTTCTCCATGCAGAAAGTCACCTGGTCTCCTGCTCTCCCCATCTCTCTTCTGTCTCAGCAGCAGAGACCCTGGTCTCTGCCATTTCCAACCTTGCCCTCCTTGCTTGTTCTCACCCAAGTGGTCCCCACCCTCTAGGAGAGACCTTGCGTCCTTACTAAAAGATGTGCTTCCTGGAGAAGACCCTGAGGATGAACTCTGACTTTTGGTTGGCCTCCGATGCACAGGGCACGATGAGGTATGTCCCTGGTTCCAGACACAGCTCCTGACTCACTTCTTTCTCCTTGAGAAACCTATCAGGCTGGCTCAGAGGAGTGTTTCTCTGGAAGAACTCGGGGGGCAGTCTCCTCTGGTCGTCATGGTACTGTGGGTAGAGGACAGAAGAACAGCAGGGGAGGTGATGACCCAGGGCTGTGGCCAGGCCTGAGGCCCTCAAAGCTCTGAGCCAGGACTAAAGTGGCCCCTGCTCTGCCAAATCCAATGTGCCCCAGTGGAGGATGAAACAAGTGGGGAAGGAAGGAAAAACCAGAATATGTGTGTGGAGGGCTGCACCTCTGTTGGAACCTATCAGGGGTTACATAAACACGTGTCATTTGATTTGACTTACCTTAAAAACAACACCAGCACTATGTGAGGAATGTCCCTGTGCCTGCCATTTCCATTTTACAGTTGAGGGCTCTGAGGCTTAGAGAGGTGAGATTATCTGCCCAGGGTCATCAGCTGGTTACAGTCCCAGCCTCATGGGAATTCAGGACAGCTGAGTTCCAATGCTCCTGTTCTTTACCCTTCCTGATGCTGCCTCCATGTATGTGATGTAGCATGACTTATGGTCAGATACAGATGGACCACCACCACCTCCCCACCTACAGCACACAGCTACACATAGATAAGCTGGCACTACGCATCATCTCAGGGAAAACACCCTTGTAAAGGACAAAGAGAACTGGGCAAGAGCTCGGAAGACCCGAATCAGGGCTCTTGTTCCGACATTTCTTGGGTATCTGCTTTGTTTTATCTGATTCATATTCTTTCTCTCTCTCTCTCTCTCTCTCTCTCTCTCTCTCTCTCTCTCTGCCTCCTTTGTTTCTCCATCTCTCCCTATTTTTCTCTCGTGCTTCCTCACCCCTTTGTTCTCACTCAGGGCTACAGAGGGAGAGGAGACCCACACCAGGATCCTCTCTCCAGTTTATATACAACTGCAAACAAAGACATCACCTACCCACATAAACAGATATATAGCAAATTCCTCAATGTTTGGGAAATAAAATACATATCCTGATGATGTAGGCATTCTTTTATGAGACAAGAGAACTAGGGAATCATCCAATTGCCCTCTTTGCCATGGGCTACTAGGAATCTCGGAGCTAAATTGTACAATGATCCACAGTAGCTGTCCTGGGTTTAGTTTTCCTGGTAGAAGCAACTGCCCACCTAACCCTCAGCTCTTTGTTATTTTTTAATGGCTTTTAAATTTTGTAACTGATTTGCAGGTTTCCCCTGTTCACACCTTTTTATTGTAGGTTGACCCAAATTCTATTTAGAAGTAGGCACGACATAAATAACTTTGTCTTTTGAAATTAATAGGCAAATTTAAGAGTGCTCAGTGTTCCTGCGAGAAAAACAACAAAAAAAGACCCGGTGTAAAATGGTTTCTCTACAATAATCCTTTTACTCGATTCAATCCAACCTGAGAAAATTAAGCATTTTACTCCTGTTTTCTCTGGGAAATAAAATAATAGCTGCCTCCCTCAGAAGCTGGGATTCCTTGGGCCTTCCTCCCTGACCCCTCCTGGCTGCCACAGCAGCTGAAGCACGGAGGTGTTCTTGTCCTTCTACTCACGCTCCTGCCACACGTCCCCAAGCCTTTGTCCCTTCTCCCTAGGGAGGTGGGCTGCATGGTCTTTGATGACCTGTATGTTTTAAATCCATTTTATTTTGGGTTTCATAACCCAGTCAAGATTGTAATTTATCATCTTTCCTATGCTGTGGTGGCCTTCAATATTAGCCGTAGGTATTTGTGTAGGAATTCAATAAATTCTAAAATGTATTGGTTCTATGCTAGGCTCTGAGATTTTCCACAGATGCATGAGGATCTCTTGGGGGTCTTCGGATAAAAAAGATTAACAGATACACTTTACTTTCATATACACACAGGCCGTTGGCAGACATTCTCATCATCAGGCATTATCACAGCTTCTTACACAGTATAAGCCCGCTCCAGTCTAACTAAATCCCGTGGAGGCTTGGCCACATGTGATATCACCCCAAACTAGGGCCACCCGGTCAAGCGCAGAACTCACCTTGTTCACCTAAAAAACAAAAACAAAAACAAAAATAAAAAGAGAGAGATCTCATTAGGCAGGGAATCTGGCTCCTTCATAAGCCGAAACCCGAATAGCAGCTGACATACAAGGCTCTACCCAGAAGCCCTGTCCCCTCCCACAAGACCTGCTCTTCTATCAGTGACATTTTAATCCATCATTGGAATTTCTGGAAAAGAGGGAGGGAAAGAATGCTTGGCTTTTGGGGAGAGAAAAAGGAAGCCAATATTGATTATACTATGTGCCAGGCACAATAGCAAGCACTACCACATAATCCTCTTTTATTCTCCCCTTTCCCTAAATGCCACTGTAGAAACTGATGGTCTAGTGCAAGAAGGTGACTTGTTCTAAATCACATGTTCCTAAAGGACAGAGCCTGGATTTGAAAACCCAGGTCTGTGAACAGAGACAGATGGTGAAGAAGACAAGAAAGAGGAAGACATGGTAACTGTTGGTGACCCCCATGCTTGGTCCCACGCCCCTGTGGTTCAGAGATCCGCCTACCCTATAAAGGTAGAAGCCAATGGCGAGGTGAGGCTTCCGCTTGCGGCACCTGTGCCTGGGCTTCTGGAGCAGGGACACCAGTACGCTGCAGGGCCTCAGGGATCTCCTGCCCTCCTCGGGCCGCCAAACAGACAGCAGGAACTGCGGGTTCTTCCAAAATGTGCCTGGGGCAGAACACAGCAAGGTGAGAATGGGCCCCGGATTCCCAAGCATCCTGCTCACCGAACCACTAAGAGGTGAACAGTCCGAGGGTGCCTCTGCCAGGATTGACACCCTGAGGTCCACTGGGACACAGTCAGGGTCCCCCCAACCTTGACTCTATGTCCTCCCACCTTGCTCTTCCACCTGGAGGCCTTTTCCACCCTAAGGCCCATCGGGACAGGGTCGGGGTCCCTTCAGCCTTGGCTCTATGCCCTCCCACCTTGCTCTTCCATCTGGAAGTCTTCTCCAGATACACTGACTGGAGTTGTTCCCACCACTGTAGCCTCTTTGTCTTGCTCAGTGCCTGGCCCAGGTGTTATACCCCACAGCATGTGCTACCTGAGTAAGCAATTGTATTCACTCCCTGGGGAGGTGACCATGATCCTAGGGGCTTTTGCATTTTAATCGAGGCAAAACCTTAGCTTAAGGTCAGCTTCAGATTTGGGGGGAAATACTGTGTCAAAAGGGGGACTCCAGAGCTAAGGCCACCCTGGCCTACTGAGGTCACACCCCACAGGACTTGCCTTCAAAAGGGATGGCTCATTATCTCCAAAGTGGAGGAAGGGACAGGGTCACCAAACCTGCCCCATCTTGCGAGTCCACACAGGTTTGTCTCCCATATCTAGGGAGCCTGGGTTTGTGTTTCTCCCAGGCTCCAGGTGAGAAGGACCCGATACAATTTCTATTTCAATCCTGCCCAGCTAGGGGGTGGTTCCTTCAGTGTTTTCAGTGGCCTTGTCCAAAACTAAAGAAAGATTTTCCCCTGCCCCTGCTTTTACCACGCCTGTGTGCCTGTGATCCCCGGTGCTGAGGGACAGGGCAACCCTTCAGGAAGATGCAGCCCCACAGGCTGGCAGCTTGACTGAGAGGGCTCTACCTTGGTGCACATTGGGATCAAAGGTGCCCTGTCTTCCCTGTGGTCACAGCCCAGCGCCCCAGCACACACCGAGGCAAACAAAGCCTCCTCCCCACTCAGCCAGTGCAGAATTCACGCTGCACCCACCTATGCAGTCACCCTCACACCCCCGCCCACAACCTCACTCTGAGAGCCCTGCTCCTGTGCGCATGCTCACCCTGCAGCAATTGTCTCTGGCCACCAGCTGTGCTCCCCTTCTCCCATCTCCCCTCCCGCATGGTGTACGTCCACTTCTGGGCCGCCTCCTGGCTCAATAGGCCTGGGGTCAGTTTACAGATAACCAGGAGCACGAAATGTGTTTTAAAGTCCTGCAGCGTCATCCTGTGGAGAGGAAGAAGGAAAAGCACAAAGGATGGACCAGATAACGCCTAGTCATCAGGACCCATGGGGAGGGTGAGATGAAGCAGTGGGCATCCCAGCCATCTCATGGACAAAGACACCAGCTCTTGTGCAGAGCTGAGCCGGCCATGGACACATAAGCAGGGGCTGGCTGGATCCCTGTGAGGGTCCATCGTGGGGAGTTGGAGCTACTGAGAAGCCCCACCCTCTGGCTGGAAGCAGCTGGCCACATGGCTGACTGGGGGAGATGTTCCTGTTTCTGGAATCACGGTGATAGCAGCTGAATTAAGGCAAAGCTAACTAGTCATTTGTTTTATCTATAAATGTTCAGTAAGAATTACATATCAGTTCTCAATCATTAATTAATGAAGATCTTTGCCCCTACTTGCTAACTTGTGGCCTGTAACACTCTGTTTAAGCTGTCTGATGCTCAGTTTACTTAACCATAAAGTGGAAAAAACAGGAATTTGCAGGGCTTGAATTCAGTGAAAGACCTTCCAAAGGGAGAGGGCTGCGGCAGGCTGTACTGGATGGTTAATGGGGAGAGTCCTTGGAACGAGGGTTGACATTCATAGTAACAGTGCTGAGCAAAAGCAAAGGAGAACTGATGGGGCCCGTTTCAGACACCTAGAAGCAGCATCAGCTCAGGATGTCTTGGTGGCCTTTCAAAAAATGAGATGAGCAGCTCCAGAGTGGGTGGCAGTGTTACTCTGCTCCGGAGGGCACTGGTCGGGGGCCTATCCTATGGCAAGACTTTGCAGTCTCTTCCTACCTCACGGCCTTTTCAGGACAAAAAGGCAAAACCTGTTTTGAATATACTGAGCAAGAGAGCAGAGAGGAAGCCAGAGAGGAGGAAACAGGCTGGCTGAGCCCTCACTGAGCTCCACCCCAGTGGCCTCTACTCTCATCACAGAGACAGTGACCATTTATTTATAGTCGCTGTTTGTCCTGCTAGACCGTGAGCTCCTAAAGGGATGGTGCCTTACTGATCTCTGTACATGAGGTTCCTGACACCCATGAGGCATCCAGTAAATGTCTGCTGGATGGGTTTTCAAATGTAGGCCAGGACATTTGTCCAAGTCCCCAAGTCCAATACCAGAATTCTCCATCATTGTCTTTTCTCAGAAGCAGAATCTTCTCCTTGGGGCTCAGCAGCTCCCATTTACTTGAACTGAAAATGGAAAAGGGAATGAAAAGCTTGTGGGGGGCATGCTAGAAATTCTTTAGTAAAAGCTCTATAGTATCATTATTTATTATTATTTTCATACTACTTCAGACAACTAAATTTCCCATTCCATATCATACAGTAGCATGAGCATTAATTGATAGCTTACTATGAGCCAAGTGCCGGGCAGGTTATTGACATACATTATTTCATTCAAGGCTAACAACGACTTTGTTGTTCTCATTTTAGAGATTAGGAAATTGAAGTTAAGAGAGATTAGGTCATTTGCTTGAAGCCATAAATCTATTAAATGTCAGAGGTAACATTTGAAATTGTTTTCAGATATTGGACAGCAGGCAACAGGGGTCCATGATCCTGGGAGGCTGGAAACAAATGAGGCAAGCCCTAACATCACCTAGGCTTTCTTCCTGAAGGTAATTTCCTGGCTAGTGCTACAGGGAGAGGGACTCAAAAAAGAACATATCGGTAGGGCTGAGTGGAGGAGACAGAATCTGGAGTTCAGGGAGATCAAGATAGCCAGAATTTGCTGGACAAAGTATCTGAAAGGAGGGGGCTACACGAAAAAAGGAGTTCCAGAAAACTTCATAGGGGTTCCCTTGCGTCTTTGGCTGAGTTTTAATCTGTGCTTTCTTAAAGTGAAACTCCCGAAGACTGGACCATAAGCAGGACACAGTGCTGGGAATCTCAGGCATTCCCACCAGACAGAGTTAAAAGACTTTATTTATTTATTTACTTGTTTTTGAGACAGACTCTCACTCTGCCACGTAGGCTGGAGTGCAGTGGTGCGATTTCAGCTCACTGCAACCTCCACCTCCTGGGTTCAAGCAATTCTCCTGCCTCAGCCTCCCAAACAGCTGGGATTACAGGCACATGCCACCACACCTGGCTAATTAGTAGAGACATGGTTTCATCATGTCGGCCAGGCTGGTCTTGAACTCCTAACCTCAAATGATCTGCCTTCCTTGGCCTCCCTAAGTGCTGGGATTACAGGCGTGAGCCACCGTGTCCAGCCAAAAGACTTCATTGAATACATGGAATCTTTACTAGAGATCCCAGAGGGTCTACAATTTAGTAGTGGAATCAAATTATCCCTGACATAAAGGTTTGTCTTGACCTTCCCTAAAAGTGCTTAAAAACTTCAAAGTATCAAAACAATCCCTAAGCAATGTAACCACCTGCTTTAAAAAGAAAAGTCCAATACTCTTTAAAGAAATACGATAAAATTCAGTACTCTGAAGCTAAAATTTACAAGGTCCAGCATGCAATAAAAAGTTATTAGCCTATGAAGAAGCAGGAAATATGATCCGTGACCAGGAATAAAAAAATAGTCCATAGAAACCGCCATAGAAATGAGAGAGATGATGGAATTAGCAGACAAGGACATTAAAACAGCTATTACAAAAGTGCCCCATATTCTCAAGGATGTCAAGAGAAACATGGACATAAAAAAGGGAGAAATGGAAGATAATCTCAAGTGGAATTTCTAGAATTGAAAATATAATATTTAAAATGAAAAATATACTGGATAGGATTAACAGCAGATTAAACACTACAAAATAAAAGGTCATCATTTTGATATTCACTATACCTCTAGATCCAAGAAATTAAGAAGCTTGCCTGAACTAAGATCACACAGCTAGGCAGTAACAACACTGTAATTTTACTCATCATCTATCTCTAATTTCAGTGCTTGTTCCTCTGTGAAAGAAACCGCCACCAGCAACAATATGATGCTAGATTTCTGAAACACTTTAAAATTTATGTATTTCTTAGATGACATTTTCCCACATAGATCCAGTTCCTCTAACAACTCTGTTTACTAATGTGTAACAAATAAAATGCAGCATGTTTTATCAAGAGGAATATTCGACTTATGTTTCTAAGCCTTCATTTTTTCAATGTAAAAATGATTAAGTGATAATGTGTATATGGACATGTTTGTAGACTCTAAAGACCTGTAAAGGATTAAGTATTATAAATCTTCATAATGACAGAACAAAGGACTTTAGGACTTGACCTCCCTTTCTGCCTGTGCCCTACAGCCAGTGTCTAGCCTGCAAAACCCGCATTTCTTTAGGGCTGCCATTAGGCAGAAACATCCTAAATGTAGGTATCTAATCAGAATGCCCAGAGGCTACTATATGTAATCAGAGTGTAGAGTCCAATCCAAATCTGTCTACCTTTAACTCAGCAAACCCAGGAGTGTACTGAACCATGCCAGGGAAAGACACTGAACCCAGGCACCAAAGACCTTGGTTGAGTCATGCTGTATGACCTTAGGCAATTCAATTAATCCAAGTTTCTCTATTAGTAAAATGGGGATAAAACTATCTACTTTGTAATAGCGTTGTTTGGGGGATTAAATGAGATAATAAAAATTCAAAAGTTTACCACATTGCTGGCAAGCCCTCAAATAAACATTAGCTTTAATTATTATAATGAAAGAGAAAGCAGTCTATATACCATAAAGCATCTTATAAATGTGAGGGATTGAGCCTCCCAGTCTGAAGGCTTCCTCATCCTGCCTAAGACCAAAGGAAGCACACATTTGAATCTGCGTGCGAATGGCAGCCTCCTTTGCCTACACCTACCCGTTCTCACCCCTCCAAGATGTCCCCAAAGTTCACCTGTCACTCCAGTCTCCTTTCCATTCCACCTGTCCCCACGGGTTCCGTAGCTTGATGAGATATTCAGGTCTGTGTTTGCAGGTCACCTGCATAAAACAAGAGGCAGTTTAGGTGGCCAGGCTGAGTGCAAGCATTTCAGAGAGCTGAGTGAGACTCGGGCCTGGAGCTGAGCACTTGCAGTGGAAAATCACATGCCCAGAGAGAGCTGGTAGAGGAGAAAGTGGCTCTGCTTCTTGTACTTACAAGCTGTGAGACCTAGGGCAAGTCACCTAACCTCTCTATGTCTCTGTTTTCCGATCTGTGAAATAAGGTCAATAGTCATACCTACGATAGTGGGTTGAATGGTGATCTCCCCTCCCCAAAGAGGATACATACACTCAGAACCTGTGAACGTGACCCTATTTGGAAAAAGGATCTTTGCAAATGTAATTAAATTAAGGACCTGGAGATGAGATAATTATGGATAAGGGTGGGCCCTAAATCCAAAGACAACTGTCAGAAGAGAAGGGGAGAGGACACAGAGAAGGCCACGTGAAGATGGAGGCAGAGACTGGAGTTATGCAGACCAAGTCAAGGAACACCTGGAGCCACTGGAAGGTGGAGGAGGCAAGAAGGGATTCGACCCTTCCCCAGAGCCTTCAGAGGGAGCATGCCCCTGCTCACACCTTGATTTCAGACTTCAGGCCTTTGGAACTGGGAAAATTAATTTCTGTTGTTTTTAAGTTCCCCTCCGTCAACATTTTATGGTAATTTGTTGTGGCAACCTTAGGAAACCAGTAGACCTTGTGAAAGGGAAATAAATCTTGGGACCCCAAAATCACTAATCTAAAGGGAAAAGTCAAGTTGGGAACTGCTTAGGGCAAACCTGCCTCTCATTCTACTCAAAGCCACCCCTCTGCTCACTGAGATAAATGCATAACTGGTTGCCTCCTTTGGAAAGACTAACAGAAACTTGAAAGAATGCAACCATTTGTCTCTTATCTACCTATGACCTGGGAGCCCCCTCCCTGCTTCCAGTTGTCCCACCTTTCCAGATGGAACCAATGTTCATCTCACATACGTTGATTGATGTCTCATGTTATAAAACCAAGCTGTTCTCTGACCACCTTGGGCACATGTCGTCAGGACCTCCTGAGGCTGTATTAAAGGCGTGCATCCTCAACCTTGGCACAATAAACTTTCTAAATTAACTGAGACCTGTCTCAGATACTTGGGGTTCACAACCTACTCAGAGTATTGCTGTGAGGGTGAAATGGGTCCACATTTGTAAGGCAGTTAAACAGCATTTAGCACACAGTAAGTGTTGTATAAATTTTGTTAATAAATGTGGAAATAAATTAAAAGCTCTGGGCACACAGACCAACATAGTCGTTGGAGATCTAGAAGGAAGAATTTAAGTGTGAATTGAGTCCAAGAAATTTGAAACAGAGTTAAAGGAAATTGGAGGACTTGGGAGGAGTCGGGCCCTCTAGAGATTACCAGAGGTTCTTTAACTTAAACCTGCTGACTTCTTATCTCCATGCTTTGCTTACACTGCTCCCTCCACCAGAATGCCCTTCTTGCCCCATATAAATCTACCTATTTCAAGGACCAACTCAACGTCACCTCCCCTGTAAGAGACTCTTCTGACTTCTCCCCAACCCAAATCGATGGAGGTCTTTTCTCTTATCCATGAATTCCTAAAGTCTTTCATCTACACTTTGTTCTCTCAGTTTCAACTTTGCTTCCTCCTCATTTTCAGATATGGTTTGTGACCATACCTGATGGTAAGCCCTTTGTAGGCAGGTCCTGCCTGGTGCATCTTCCTCTCAATGCCTAGTAAAGCTCAAAAGATGGATAGCAGCGGAGACGGTCATAAAGAAGCACGTGAGAGAGGAGTAGAAATTTGGGAGGGAAGAACCAGATGAAATGGTTGTTCTTGGCATCCCAGAGTGAAGCAAAGTTCAAGGAAGGGTTGTGAGGTACAGCAGGGTGGGAAGATGGTTGGCTGAGGGCTGCCCCAGGGGATGAGATTGGGATGATGCACTGGCGTTGGCAAAGGCTGGACCCACCACTTCACCCCAGGCAATAGGTGCAGAGGCACAGGGACCCACCAAAGACTTTACTCACTCTCCAGATGGCGCAGAAACTAAATCCACCAAGATAAGCTAGGGCCCAGAGAGGGAAGGGCAAGACTGAGAGGGAAATCAAGCGGCCGACCTCAACCCACCTTCCTGATTCCTGTGACAGTATAGGCATGGCCTTCCACCAGCCCATTCTCCAGAATCTTCTCCTTCTGCAGAGACAAGAGAGGTTCTGATCAGTCTTCTGTTATGTACAGCTTATTATTTGAGTAACGTATGAAAAACTCTTTGTTTGGCTGGAGCAGGGGTTTATGGAGAGAAGTGTGGGAGATAATCATGGTATGGTACATTGCAGTTTTCAAAGCTCTTTGGTATCCATAGTCTCACTCCACCCTCTCAATAAGTGAGCCATTCTGCAGTGATCATGTCATACCCTCCATTTTACAGAGGACAAACTCTATTTAGAGTTGCTGAGTAAATGTGTGAGGTGACACATTTGGCCATTAGTGAAGGCAGGGCTGAACTGAGGGCTTCCTACTCCTGTTCCATGGTTTCGGTTGTTATCAAATAGGACATGGAAAGTGCCTTGCATGTAGCTGACACTTAATAATTGTTAGCTTCCTTCTCTGCACATCATCTTCTTTTTCCTAGTGTCTCGCCTGTCCTGAGGCCCCAACACTGCTGCTCCGGTTTTTTTGTTTTTCTTTTTTAAAACAGAATCTCTCTCTTGTTGCCCAGGCTGGAGTGCAAGGGTGCGATCTTGGCTTACTGCAAACTCCGCCTCCCGGGTTTTAGTGATTCTCCTGCCTCAGCCTCCCAAATAGCTGGGATTACAGGTGACCACCACCATGCCCAGCTAATTTTTGTATTTTCAGTAGAGATGGGGTTTCACCATATTGGCCAGGCTGATCTCGAACTCCTGACCCCAGGTGATCTGCCCGCCTCGGCCTCCCAGAGTGCTGGGATTACAGGCATGAGCCACTGCACCTGGCCTTGCTGCTCTGGCTTGAACACCAGGACCTCAGCAGTAGGAGCTGGGTGGAGGTCCTGAGCCCACACCCAGGTGAGGGCAGTGGTGGTTGATGGAGGGCGTGGGTGCAGGAGAAGAGGACTGCCAGTGGCAGCCCAGTCTCACCCCTGAGTGGGTCTGGCAGCCAATGAGGGTTCTGTTGTAGGTGGCTTTGGTGAGGATGTCCCAGAGGTTGCCATGGGCTTCTGCCAGGTTGATGGTCATTGTCACCCCTCCAGTGAAGTCTACAAGGGCTTCAGACACCTGTCCTGATTGCAAGTCTTCATAGGAACCAGAAAGCCTAGCCAGAGAAGAAAAAAACATGAAAAGAAAAAGTATCATGAGTATTTATCATTTTATGTGGCCTCAGCATCCATTTTTAAATAGGAGTTTAGTTTTCTCGTACCGAAAGCAGAGCTCAGGCAACCCTGACATAGTTTCCAATACCATACCTATCCTGAGTGGCTTCAGCAGATGGTCATAGATAAAACTTACAGGCATCTCTCCTGCCTAGAAGACTGGGAACCCCTCTTTCCCACCACTTCCTTTAAATGGACCACTCAGATGTTTGCCTGAGAACTTAGTGACCACCTGTCAATCACAGCGAGATCTCCTGGAACTAGTGCCTGCTTGCTTTGAACCTATCAATTAAAGCTGCTCACGTGAAACCTGTTTGGACAACACCCCGGACTCAAGAAAAGGCATGGGTCCACCACAGGTCCATTTTCTCTCTTTCTGCCTGGCCTCCCTGACTTCCACGTGCATGCGTACATATATGTGTGTGTGCATGTGTGTGTTTGTGTGTGCGTGTGTGTGTTTATGTGTGTGTATGTGTGTGCACATGTGTACATGCGTGTCTGTGTTTGTGTGTGTGTACATTTGTGTGTGTGTGTACATTTGTGTGTGCATGTGTGTGTGTGTGTGTGTGTGCCCTCCATGCATGCCAAGTACCCTCTAGGGTCTGTAGGTATGAAAAACTCTTAAACTTTCATGTTGCGGTTGTGTGGTTGAAGCTGTGCCCACAATCCGACCACTGATGATCAGGCTGCCCCACAGGGACCCAAGCAGGTGGATCTCCTGCTGCTGCTCCTTCATCCAGGCCTCTTAGCTGCTGGGGACAGCAGTGATCTCTAGGTTGAGAGAGTTTCATTCAAAACAAAAGGAAGGGGCATTTAAACTGTAGATTAGATGGTCCGAATGAGAAGTGGAACCTTTGCTTAGGTATTCTTTGGGTGTATCTTGCTACTCCTACCTTCCATCCCAGGAGCAAAGGAGAGAATAGACACTCAGAGCTCCTATCCCCCTTAATTCCATCCATTAGGGAAAGGCAAAACCCTTGAATGCAGGTTTAGAAGAGGCGACCCCTACCTAAAAGACTCTGAATATGTTGTCACTTCTATGTCGACTGAGACACGCCTCAGGATCTCATTTCATAAACTTTACCTGACTCCACTCCCCTCCTTCAACATTGAGAGAGAGAAAAAGAAGCGATAGGAAGGGGGATATTTCTGCTGGTTTCTTACTTGGCATAGGCCTTTTCCAGAAGTGCTCCCCAGAACAAGTTCTTGTAGGTGGAGGAGACAAAGAGCAGCTGGCCAGCCTCATTCACGGGCAGGCGGTCATCGATCACCACAGGAACCCACTTCCCGTAGTGCCAGAACTGGAGGGAGAGAGTGGTCCCGGGTGAATGAGGACTGCTGCAGGTGGTGATCAGCCCAGAAGGTGAAGACATGGTCCTCCAGGAACCCTCTTTCCTATGACTCCCTCCAGGCCGAGGGCCCGGGAAGACACTCACCCAGAACCGGAAGATGCCAGCATACTTCTCAGTGAAACTCTGATTCAGGGGAACAACCCTGCTCAGGATGTCCTGGTGCAAGGTCAGAGCTTGCAAAGCAGCCAAGAACCAGCAGTCTCCTAAGTCAGACAGCACACAGCATCTGCATGAATCTACTGGGGACTTCATGCCTGCAGGAAATGCCCGGTCCCTATGGCTACCCTCTCTGGGCTTGTAGCCTAGTTTCAGAGAAGGGAATTATATACTGGGAAGGCAGATGATGAGTGAGCAGAGCGGAAGGGAGGCTGGGAGCACTGGCTGAAATCCAACTTGACACCAAAACCAGAGCCATGTTCCTGAACCAGCTTTTAGATTCCTGAATGCCCTATCCTCAGGAATTTGGACCTGAACTCCATCCACTTCTTCCAAATCTTGCCTCTGAAACTGATTTACGTTCTTCTGGGAAAGCCTCAACCCTTCAGGACCCTATTTCCCTGTCTGTGAAATGGATATCGCTGGACTTGGTTGGGCCTTCCCTGATGACCAATTTACTATTTTAAAAAGGTAGAGTTGAGGATAGATCTGCTTTGATCCTATTCTGGGGAGGCTAATGACTGCTGTCTTAAGAAGGTCCCACTGTGGGAGCTAAAATAGAGTGAGCACATTTTCCAAACTTAGAATTTAGACCTGTAAACTGGTAATGAGGATTATGTGAGGACTTAGGCAGAGTATGCATTCCCACGCATCCTCAGAGGACCAGTTTTTATAAACTTCACAGCAAAGAACAGAGCACATCCAGGTAGCCTTCAGGGTTTGCCAGTGAATAGCCACTTTGGGCCTCTCTCCAGTGGGGATCTCTGGATTCTCTTCTTCATCATCCACTCTGTCTTGGCCAGGCCTGGCCAGCAGGCAGCCTAGCGTCTGTCTCCCAGGGCTGTGAAAACTTACCTACCATGCCCTGGCACAGATCCAGCCTTTTGGTCTTGGCAAAATAAAACTGGGGATTGCTGTGCAGTTCCTGGGGGAGACAAACAGAATTGTCATTCTGACCTCGAACAAAAAAGCTCCTGGAGCTACAGTGACCATGTTTTCCCATACCCCCAAACTGGACTTATGGGGACAAAGATACAGAATATATGTGTAATCAGTGCTGTCCCAGAAGATCTGGGATACAGAATTCTGTCCTTTTTATTTCTCATTCCTTCTTACAGCTTGTGTAAGTCAGAGCCCTGGACTCTGTAGATATTGAGAAATAGCACTTATACCAAAAATGCCTTTTCTTAGAGTTTCTGTTAAAAATGGAAACACTTTTATAGGAGGCATTTTCGGTTTTCCTAGAGATCTTCTCTTTCTCTTTACTCTCCCCTACTCCTCCTTCCTATTCCTGACCCCTAATAAGATGGTCTCTTTGGGTTTTCCTGCTGAGATGCAGCCTGGGGTGGGGTGCTAGCGGGGTGGTCTCTGCTCCGTGGCAAGATTTATATCCTTCAGTCTTTGCGTGGACACAGTTTCCCCAAGAGTCAGTTGTAGAACAGAGTCTCTATGTCAGCAGTTCCCAGGATTTTCTGAGAGAAGTGGGATCTTGGCTGCCATGTAGTTTAGGAGGCTCACTGCAGATTTTACACACAGTAGGGACTTCATAAGTCTGGGGCTGCAGGTATCGATGGTGATGGGTGAGTAGGGAAGAGAAAAGGAAAGGAAAGTCTGTGGCACAGGCTTAACTTTACCCTATTCACTAGCCATGTTCCTGAAATCTTGTATGTAAATGAAGTTTCAGGGAGATGGATTACATTTGAACACATTAAGAAGTTGCTTTTTAAAGGAATTGAAGCATTTTATAGAGTGAAGAATATTTTTCTAAAGTGATTAATAGCTTCTTAATTTACATGTTTCATGAGCCTGTTTTTGGGGGAGGAGATTGGAGAGATGTTAAAATTTATCTCTCTGGCAGATGGTATTGGCTGTGACTCAGGAAGCCTTGCCATCTCAGATGAAGCTAAACAATACCTTGATATATTTCTGGCTATAGCTATTCTGCATATTTCTGGGCAGGACTGAGGAAGGGCTACATCTTAGACCACTCTCAAAATCACCCCTGGTTTTCTCCATCTGGAAAGTGAGAAGGTGGGAATGTACCCAGTTCCCTTCTCATGGAGATCAATGACAGTAAGACCTGGTGTGATATTGTGAAATATACATTTGGTCTTCATTTGCTCAGTTTTCTGACATTCAGCTCCTAAAACCTTGGGAACCTCTAGAGTGGTAAGAGTGTCCTTTGTATGCTAATGATTGACTGGTGACTGGTGGTCCCTAGGTAGCTTCAGGATAGGGTCTGGTCATTGGAAAGACCAAGGCAGGTTTAGAAGGTTGGGACTTTCAGCCCCACCCCCTCACCTCTGGGGAGGGGAGGGAAACTGAAGGCTAAGTTGATCAGCAAAGGCGAATGATGTAATCAATCATACCTAGGTAATAAAGCCTCCATAAAAACCCAAAAGGACAGGGTGTAGGGAGCTCTGGATATCTGAAAACATGGAGGTCCCTGGAGGGTGGCACACCCAGGGAGGGCATGAGAGCTCCACACCCCTTCCCCATGCCTTGCCCTATGCATCTCTTCCACCTAGCTGTCATCTGCATCCTTGTAATACCCTTTATAATAAATCACTAAATGTAAGCGAAGCATTTCCCTGAGTCCTGTGACCCGCTCTAGCAAATTAATCAAACCCAAGGAAGGGATCATGGGAACCACACTCCTGATTTATGGCCGGTCATGAGAAGTACAGGTCACAACCTGGGACTTATGATTGGCATCTGAAGTGGGGACAGTCTTATGGGATGAACACTCAACCTGCGAGATCTGACACTGTCTCTAGGTAGACAGTGTCAGAATTAAATTTCATTACAGAATACCCAGATGGTGGCCACCAGAGAATTGCTTGGCATATGGGGAAAACCTCCCACACATCTGGTGTTAGAAGAGTGTGTTGTGTTGAGTGGAGAGGAGAGAGTAGGAAAAAGCCTGTTTTTTTTCTCCCATATAACTTAGGTGTAGTATCTGAAAGCCTAAACCCTGGGGCAGGAGGGTCTGGGCTGACACATTTTGCCTCACCGGGGGCCTCTTCCACTGCAGGCGGGGTGGCAGCTTCTGCAGCAGAGAGCTGCTGCCGATGGAGCTCAGGGTGGCCGGGAAGCTGGTGTCTTCAAAGAGGCAGCCATTCCTTAGGCACTCTGCCAGCAGGGCCTCGAAGTCCTGTTGGGGGAGCTGTGGAGAGGCCCTCCTGGAGTACCTTGGCCCCAGCTTCCATCCGCATCGGAAAGGTGGCCACAGAGACATGGCAGGCAGTGGGTACAGTCCTGTGAGTCTTCCTGAGGAGTCTCTCCTGCTCCTGAAATGGACAGAGGACGGTCAGTTTCCTCATTTCCTGCTTGTGCTTTGCCATTGCCACAGAGAGGAGGGGAAGGATGGAGAGAATGGGAGCGGAGAAGTCAGCTGGTGAGAAAGAGACAGAAGCAGGTGGTTCGATTTTGTCCCAGACAATGGGGGTCCTTGAGCACTTGCTCAAGCGCTTGAGGACCTGGTGGGGGATCAGGGATCTTGTGGCAAAAGCTTACAGAAGGGAAAGGTCTCTCAAGCCTCAGGGCTGAGTCCTGGGCCCCTGACTGCCCCAATGTCACAGGGGTCCCTTCTGCTTAGTGGGGAGGCAGGAGAAGAGAAGTAGGAAGCTGGAGCTCAGTCCCCTGGGCTGCAGGGTCCTGTGCCTGCCAAGGTAGTAGGGAGTAGTGGCTGTCTGCTCAGGGCCTCCACCAGGCCTGCCAACTCCTGCCTCCCAGCTACAGACACACAGCCTTCCTCCTGCTTCAATGTCCTCCTTATTCTTCCCTGCAAAACCTCCTCCTACATTACCCTTTTTTTTTTTTTTTTTTTTTAATTTTTAGTTTTTTTGAGACAGTCTCACTCTGTTGCCCAGGCTGGAGTGCAGTGGCGCGATCTCAGCTCAATGCACCCTCTGCCTCCCAGGTTCAAGCGATTCTCCTGCCTCAGCCTCCCAAGTAGCCGGGATTAGCAAGGCCGCAGGAGATGCTGGGGGCCAGCAGCCTCCGCGCGGGGGCCTCCCAAGGACGTCTCTCCCATCCCAGGAGCCCCTGGGTGCGCTCCGGGTCGGGGGTAAAGCCCCAGGCTCCCGCACAGGGTGCGTTGGTCTCTCGTGGAAGGCCCCCATGGGCAGTTGCGGGCCCTGGCAGGGCTGCAGGTTGGCGTGGGCAGGCCAGCAGAGCACCAGATACAGACGCCCGCCACCACACCCAGCTCATTTTTGTATTTTTAGTAGAGATGGGGTTTCGCCATGTTGGCCAGGCTCGTCTCGAACTCCTGACCTCAAGTGATCGGCCCGCCTTGGCCTCCAAAAGTGTTGGGATTACAGGCATGAGCCACCATGCCCAGCCTACATTCTCTTTAAAAAGAAATCCTTCCTTGAAGACTTTCTTGCTAATGTAAAAGGGGGAAAGAAATCACAGACACATATTGTGACAAATACCAACAGTTGCCGGTACATGCCCATTCTCCCCTTTTCCTTGTTAACAGAGTTCCTGTTTTGACAACCCGGCTACAAAACCTGATTTCCTGGAGCTTCTTGCAGGACAGATTGGCTACACAATATAGTTTTTCATTTTACAGTTGCAAAACCACGAATCTTATCCAGCCCCACCCCCCCACACCCCCATTTTTCAGGTGTTACAACTGAAACCTGTCCATTCATTCATCAAAAATTTTACTGGGAACTTACCATTTGTCAGGCTTGAGCTAGGCATTGCTCACCAAAGACAGTCCCTGCCCTCATGGCTCTTACAGATTAGAGGCTGCGAGGGCGGGAAGGGTTAAACGATCTTTCCGGTGCTATACAAGGAGATTTTATAACGGCTGTATCCAGAACCCAGAGCCCTGACTCCCATAACAATATTCAGCTCTCAGTGCTACAAACTGCCTATTACACCCAGCACAGTGTTTGGGACAGAATGTACACGCACTAAAAGTAACTCGCAAACAGGCTTATACTGAGTGTGAGTACTCCCTCATGGCTGTAGGAGTGACCTGGGGTCCTCTCCATTTGTCAAGGTCCTGCCCATCCCCCAAAGTCGAACTTGAGTCCTTTCCCCAGCAAGCCCTCCTTGAGTGCCTGGCATTCACTGAGACCCCCTCTGTCTATTGACCCACTGTCTACCCCATTGGGCACCCTACTGTCTTGGTGCTTCTCAAATTATCACTAGTGAAGGGCCTATGTTCTTTTATTTCCAATTTGTCATAGAAATTTAATGAAAATGAATAAATAGAAACATACAATTTCAAAAGATATATAAAATCAAGCCCCCCTTTAAAATTTTTTCAGGTCAGGTGCAAGGGCTCACATCTATAATCCTAGCACTTTGGGAAGCCAAGGTGGCAAATCATTGAGCCCAGAAGTTCGATACCAGCTGGGGCAACATGGCAAAGCTTCGTCCATGTAAAAATACAAAAATTAGCTGGGCATGGTGGTGCATGACTGTAGTCCTAGCTACTTGGGAGGCTGAGACAGGAGGATCACGTGAGCCAGGAGGTAGAGGTTGCAGTGAACAGAGATGGCGGCACTGCACTCCAGCCTGGGCAACAGAGCAAGACTCTGTTTCAAAAAAAAGAAAAAATTAGAGCCAACAAAAATTAAATTAAATTTAAATTATTTGATCAATTGCTATAAAAGTTTCTAAACACTTGCTCTCAGTTTTGTAGGTGGCTCACCAAGCACTGCTGGTGACCGGTTGGTGGAGTGGCCCCATTGTGGTTCTGCTCTGAGTGATGCATGCATAGAAGCCTCTTCTGCCTAATACTGGCTTTTGAATCCCCTGCAGTATTAGCACTGCTGGAATGTTGTTTGTTTCACACCCTTACCTCTGAGACCTGAGGGCAGTCCATTCCTGGCTCTTCTTATTTGTCACGGGTGCCTGTGTACTTCCTGGCGGAAGACCCAGCCCCCTTCTAACCCAGGTCACAGAGACTCAAAAGCTGTTACTCAGGTCTTGTGTTTTACCCTGGAGTTTCTTTTTTTTCCTAATGTGGATGAGTAGGCAAAGCTTCCCCCAGCTTACCCCATTTTCTTCCCAAAAAGTTTCTTCTACCACCGTACGTTTATAAACAAACTTGAGACCTCACAAAGGCAAGGTCTCCCTTTTTACCCCTTCAAGCCTTTACAACAATCCTTTACTGCTTGTCCTGTGAAAAATGATAGAGGGTCCCCCGGCTTCAGAACCTCACTCAGGCTCATGCCCTCCTTACCCAGCGCTGGGTCATACTTGGATTAACCACTACATCTCATGACAAGCACAGTACATCATGGGCTCAGGAGACAAAGGTTCCTCTCACCCTCCAAAGTTTAGAAAGAGGCCACACGTGTGCACGCACACACATACACACACACACATCTCATTTTTAAATAAATATTTCTAAGTCACCTTAGGGAGAATATAGGCTCAGATGAAACCAGTTGGCAGTTCTTGCATGTTTCCTATATATTACAAACCATGGATGAAATGGGCTCATTTTCAGATTGGCACAGCTCTCTGCAAAGGGCCAGATGGGTCTAGGTCACATTTGGAAATTCATTTTGACTACTGTAAGTGAGCAGCGTTGGAGCAGGTCCACAAAATAAGACTATGCAAATAGATAGGTGAAGGCCAATGGGGCTCAAGCTATTTAAGAATGTGCAGCCTAAAAGCATCCTCCTTGGGCCTCAGAGTTCTTTCCTTGGCTCCCCATAAGCTGCTAGGCTGTTCTGCAGTGTTTTGCATGTCAGGATTTTTATTTTTTTTTTAATTAGAGGCAGGGTCTCACTCTGTCACCCAAACTGGAGTGCAAGGACATGATCATAGCTTACTACAGCCTTGAACTCCTGGGCTTAAAGGATCCTCCTGCCTCAGCCTCTTACGTAGTTAGGACTACAGGTTCAGGTTCATGCCACCATGCCCAGCTAACCATTTTTTTTTTTTTTTTTTTTTTTTTTTTTTTTGTAGAGATGAAGTCTTGCTATGTTGCCCAGGCTAGTCTCTAACTCCTGGCCTCAAGTGATCCTTCCACCTCAGCCTCCCAAAGTGCTGGCATTACAGGCATGAGCCACCGTGCCTGTCCAAAATTTATTTATACTCAGGAAGTAAATAGAGAGTCAGGCTTCGATCTCCACTTCTTCCATGCTGGCTATTCTCCCCTTATCTATAGATGCTGGGTGCTAGGGAGGGCGTTATGATGGTGAGAGGTATCAAATAACCTGGTGCTCAGATCACCTAAGTGTCTCGATCCAGAGGAGGAGGCCTTTGAACGCTAACTGGCTCATGAACATCAGGAGCATCACCAGACAAGACACCTGGGGATACACCAGCCAGCAGTGCAAACTCCAAACCCCAATCCCTGTATGCAGGCAGGGTTTCCTCATCTCTCCTGATAACCCTCTGCCTATTTAACATGTTAGTGTTTATTAAAAGGTACATGGGAACATTTTAAATGTGGGAGAAGGAACAGACTCTAGATACACCTTGTGTCAAAATGTACTCCTTCAGGTGGGTCTCAGTGGTATTTCAGTAGCCAGTGTGAGCAAGATGACAGGAGCCAGCTGTGCACATCTCTTCCCAAGTCTGTATTCCATCATGCCATGTTAGTACCTTGTAATTGGCCATCGTGAGAGTGTCCATACCATGGAACTGGTAAATGCTACAAATCAGAGCTCCTTGGCCTTTAAAAAAAAAATTGAGAGCTAGTTGTTGAATATTACCAGCACAGCACTGGCCAACCTTAAGACAGCAGATTGCCTGGTCCTATGGGATTGTCCACTTGGAAGTTTCCCTGTTGTCCAGGAATATAGAGAGTCCATAGGCACAGGTGAGAATCTGTGAAGGCTTTACAAAGGGTGGTGTTACAACTTATTTGGAAAGAGAGGTTGATATCAGTGAAAACATTGACTCTGACAAACTGGAGAGAAATTAATACTATATCCCTGCTATTAAAAGTTCAGTCAGACTGCAGGTTTTTATATATTTGTTCTAATCACTTTAAAGTCAGAAGAATTAGTTTTCACTTAGCTATGAGTTGACTTATTTTCATTTTAAAATCCAAATAACATATATTGATTGTGGAAAAATCAAGGGAAAGAAAGGAAATATAAATTACCCATATTCCCACTACTCAATGATAGCCATAGTTAAAATTTTAATGTATACTTTTAGAGAAAATTTTCTATGCTTAATTATTTTCTAATGAAAGTAATATAATATTATACATTGTGTTTTACACTTTTACTTGACAATATCTAATGAATACTTGTCTTTGCCAATAAGTTGAATATACAAGAACACATTTAATTATTGCAAA